AAAATCCTCTTTTTAAAGTGCTAAAACAGGAAACATCAGGTATAAATCTGACTGAAAAGTTATTAGAAATTATACTAAAATGCCAAATAAATTTTTTCAACTTAAGAAAACAAATATTTACCTGTGTCTACATTGTACTTATGAGAGTGACAAACAGCAAATAATGTGCCACATGAAATAATTAGCCATCTCTTAGAGTAGATGTATGCAAAGTTTACAGTAATATTATAAATTCATTTTACTTATAAAAGTAAATTTCCTGATTTCCAGTGACTTTCCATAAATACATTCATTCAAATCTCTTGAGTTCATAAATGGGCAATAGTTTTATACATGTTTATTGAATTTTAAAGACAAAGGAGTGGCACTGTTTTTAACCATAGCTCATGTTAAATACCATTCTTCATTAATCTCAGGTGTACAGCACAGGGCCCATATACTTTGTGAAGTGGAGAGTGACAGTTGTTTTTAAGGAATACTGTATTCTGCATAAAGAATGCCCAGACAAAATCTATTCCATTTGTAAAGCTACACATAACATCCTTATTAACTGTTGTTATAATTTATTTTTATTGAATTTATTGGCTTGACATTGGTTAATAAAATTATATAGATTCAGGTGTACAATTCAATAATCCATTATCTGTATATTATTGTATTGTGAGCACATAACATTTTTTCTTTATTTATTGTTGACTAGAGGCCTGTTGCACAAAGATTCATGCAACAATCCTTCTTTCCCTGGCTGCTGGCACTAGTTTTCCTCTGTTACCAGGGACCTAGGCCTTTGGTCCGGCCGCAGCGGAGAAGCCAAGCCTTGAGGCTAGGCTTCTCCGCTCTGGCCGCAGTAAGTCTTGGCTTCAGTCTTCGCTGGGGCTGGAGCCTTCAATCTTTGCTCCATGCCCGTGTATGCAAATTGACCTGCCATCTTTGTTGGGTTAATTTTCATACTCATCCTGATTGGCTGGTGGGCGTAGTGGAGTGACACCAAGTTTCATGGTTCTCTTTTATTAGTGTAGATACTATTACATATGATCCCAAAGATGTCTCCCCTTTGCCCACTTCCACTCAGGCCCCAGCCTGCATCATTCTGATGTCTGTGTCCATGGACTATGTATATATGTTCTTTGGCTACTCTCTTCATCTTCTTTCCCCAGTCCCCCTTTCCCCTCCCCTCTGACCTCTGTCAGACTGTTCCACGTATCCATTCCTCTAGTTCTGTTTTGTTTGTAAGTTTATTTTGTTCGTTAGATTCCTCATATAAGTGAGATTACATGGGAGTCTTTTTCTGATTGGCTCATTTTGCTTAGCATAATGATTTTCAGGTCCCTCCATGCTGTCATAAAGGGTAAGAGTTCCTTGTGTGTGTTTTTTGTGGGGTTTTTTTGTTTGTTCGTTTGTTTGTTTGTTTTGCAGTCCAGTAGTATTCCACTGTGTCAATGTACCTCTGTTTTTTTTTTTATCCACTTATCTACTCATAGGCACTAGGGCTGTTTCCAGATCTTCACTATTGTAAGTAATGCTGCTATGAACATACGGATGTGCATACATTCTTTCTGATTGCTTTTTTAGGATCCTTAGTATATTTTCCCAGATGTGGGACCCCTGGGTCAAAAGACAGTTTCAATTTTAAAAAAATTTTGAGGAAACTTCTTACTGTTTTCCACAGTGGCTGTATCAGTCTGCATTCCCACCAAGGCTGCACCAGGTTCCCTTTTCTCTGCATCCTCATCGGCACCTGTTTCTTGATTTATTGCTGATAGCCATTCTGGCAGGTGTGAGATGTTCTTTCATTGTAGTTCTAATTTGCATCTCTCTGATGATAAGTGGCATAGCGTTTTTTCATATGTCTATTGCCCATCTGCACATCTTCTTTAGAGAACTGTTTATG